AACGATGTACAAATGCGCTTTACACAATTGATGTGTGTATGGATTGGGATAACAGTTGTATGAGCCCCTAATAAAATGTTAAAAAAAATAAAAATAAAAAAAAAATAAAACATGACATAGCAGTTTCAAAGTCAAAAAAAAAACAAAGACTACATACAGCTGTCAATATGGATTACAATTCACTGTGAGGAAAAATCAATCGCCTCCTACACACATGAAATCTGGACAATCATTAAAGACGACTGGGGAAGAATTGATGCCCTTGAATTTGGTGTTGGCATAGAATATTGAATATATCACAGACTACCAAAAGAATGATTAAGTATGTCTTAGAGGAAATTTAACCAGAATGTTCCTTAGAATCAAGGATGGTGAGATTTTATCTAATGGCTCTTGGGTATGCGAATAGGAAGGACTAATCTTAGAGGAGGGATATCATGCAGCAGGTCAGAACACTAAACCAAACCAACCAACCAAAAACAAAAAATACCCTCAACAATGGATTGGCCCAGTCGCTGCCACACTGGGTGAAAACGATTCTGAGGGCGGTATAGGTCAGGTTGCTTGGTTGTTCACAGGATTGCTGGGACCGGCACTGACTGACAGTACTTCTCTCTAACCCAAGGGCACACTGGTGGTTCAGAGGTAGAGTTCTGGCTATCCAGGTGGGAGACTTGATTCATGGTGGCTGATAGTCAAAACCAGTTTCATGGCATCAAGCATCAAGTAGTTGGCTGACATTTCGTATACTTATTTACTCCTTTCTCCTTGTTTTTAAACTCTAATTAAAAGAGCAGCTGTTCCTGAGTGTTTTCTATCCACTTTACTTTGTACATCAAGCTCCTAAAACCAGACAAGAGATTACAAGAAAACTATAGACCAATGTCCTTAAGGAGCTTATTAGTGAATACTATCAAATTTTAGAAAATCCAACAAAACCATAGGAGCCCTGGTGTAGTGGTTTACATATTGGGTGGCTAAATGCAAGGTCTGTCGTTTGAGACAACCAGGTCCTGCTCAAGAGAATGACAAGACTTTCTATTCCCATTAAGATTGACAGTGGCAGAAACTCAGAGGCAGTTCTAGCCTGTTCTATAGAGTCACTATGAGTCGGGACTGACTTGATGACTGTGTGTTTCGGAGAGAATAAAATAACTGAATACAGTACAATCAAAATATGTAAAGAGTGATACACAATAACTAAGTCTACAAGTATGCATTTGGGTTAACGGATGGAAACCAGTCAATGTAATTCACCATACAAATTCCTTGTTGCAACAGTGGTTCTGACTCCAGGTAAGCCCTGTGCTATGGAGCAGAGCTGTGCTGTCGGGCTTCATCTTTCGGGAGCAGATGACCAGCCCTTTCTTCCACGGTTCTCCTGGGCGCATTCAAATCACCAACCATTCCTTAGTTGAGCTCAAAATGTTTGTGCTACTGACTGGCCTTCATTCACATTAGCAGACCAACACAAAACAAAAACCCAGCATCCATTCATGGTAATAAAATAAAAGAAGGAACCTTTTACCTAATAAAGGGACATGAGTCAAATCCAACATGACAGTCACACAGGATATGCGAAACCTTCCGCTTCTTTTACTAAAATCCACTGAGACTGTGATGACTCCAATTCGCTGCAGCCTTACCAAGGGTTCCCAACAACGTCAATCTTTATGGGAGCAGGCAGCCTCATCTTTTCCCCGAGAAGTGGCTGATGGGTATGAACTGTTCATCTTCCCACGAGTGGCCTAATGCCTAACCCACAGGGCCACCAGCACTCCTCTGTTGTGGTTCTCAGTTGCTATGATGTAGGTCCTGACTCATGGCCATCCTGTGGATGCCGGCACAAACCACTGCACAGTCCTGCACCATCCTCACGATACTCGCCTTATTGTAGCCACTGTGTGGGTCCATCTCGCTGAGGGTCTTCCTCTTTTGTGCCGATTATTTCCTACACCAACAAAGAGGGCCTTTTTCAGGGTTGGTCCCTTCTGATCACATGTCCAAAGTCCATGACACGGTCTCATCACCTTGACTTCTAAGGAGCATTCTGGCTCCAGGTCTTCCAAGATAGACTATTCTTTCTTCTGGTAGTCCATGGTACATTCAATATTCTTCACCAACCTCTTAATCCAAAGGCATCAATTCTTCAGTTTTCCTTATCCATTATTTGGTTTTCTCAGGCAGGAGGCTATTAAAAATAAAAGTGCCTGTGTCAGGCACACCATAGTATTCAGTGACAGCTTTTCTTTTGATCACTTTAAAGAAGTCATTTGCGACAGATTTGCTCAATACATTGCTGTCTCTTGCCTGTTTCTTCCAAGTAAAGTGAAATCCTTGAAAGCTTCAATATTTTCTCCAATTATCATGCTGTTGGTCCAGTTGTGAGGATTTTTATGTTGAGTTGTAATTCATACCGCAAACTGTAATCTGCGAACTGCACGTCTTGTAGGTTTTAGCAAGCAAGATCGCTTCATCTGCACATCTGTTAAGGAGTCTTTCTCTCACCCTGATGGCACTTTTTCTTCAGATACTTTTTTCATATTATTTACTCAGAATATAGATTGGATAAGTTTGGTAAAAGGAATTAGATGAATTGGAAGAATGTGGACCTTTTTTAAAAAAAAAAGTTTATTGGGACATAATCCACACATCACACAATAATTCAAACATATCAAGAAGACACCAGTTATTTTTTGGTACAATAACTCTGTGTATTTCTCCATCTTCTTCTGATGCTTTGAGCTTTTCCTTCAACATTCAGTTTCACGAATTCTTACCTTTTTGTTTTCTAACTCCAAGTCTTAGCTCATTTCATTTAAATCCATTCTTTTTAAAACAGAGCTGCTTACCATTTATTTATTTATTTAAGAAAATCACTTCAAATATTCATCTAGAAACTACTTTGTCCAATCTATCATCTTGTTGCTCTCAAATTCAATCACAGCTTGTCACTCTTCCTTGTTGGACGAGTCCTTGTAAGCCCACTGAATTACTCTAACTTAGGAAAAGAGAGTGACTGGCTCTACTCGATGACTTTGGGTAAGTTTCTGCTAGACATACACAAGAGCACACAAGGCCTAAGGGAAGAGCTCAATGAATTTTCAAAGTGAACCCACCCATGTAGTCAATATCTAAGGCAGGAATGTGAACATTACCAGCATCTTTGATTTTAAGTTGAAATTTTAAGATTGAAGATGCATATTTTTATGCAAAGTAAATAGGTATACTCTATCAAAGGTCCCATGATATATCCCAGGAAATATAAGCAAAGGTAATTCTCAAGCTGCAACCTGATCAATGCATACTTCTGTACTCGATGTCTATCTTAAACTTGTTCTACTGATCTAAAATTCAATGGAAAGTCAGCCTAGGAGGTGTATGGGGTGGGGAACAAAAACAGATATACAAGAGTAAAGAAACAAACCAGCAAAAATGTTTTCAAGGTAGGAGATTTGCAGGAGTTGAGGAAGTTGAGCACAGAGCATGTGGTAGCGAGGGCCAGAAATACTGCTGTGGAGACAGGGAGGCTGCCTGTGGAGACAGGGAGGACCGCACAGTGTGGCTCAGGAAGCCCACTGCTAGGACTCTGCCCATGACTTCTCTATTCCAGGAGGAGTAGGAAGAGATAATGGAGTTCCCTACCCTTTTCTGATGGCTCTACCTCTGACCGCTTGCACCCAGCCTTTCTGGGGGGTGGGGGGAGGGACTCCTAACTCAGAACCTGCTTTGCATTCACATTCAGAAGGTATTCTCCAACAAAAAGGAACACATACCTGCTCTTTGACCTCTATGTTATGTTCCCCTTCCAGAATAAGGGTGACGGCTTGCATAATTTGCTTTCCATGAGTACTCATTATTTTATCTATATGCTGCAAAACAACAGGAAATCCTCAATTATAATCTGGGACACAAAGAAAAAGACCACAGGAAAGAGAAGAAGACTTCTAAACGTTACACAACAGGACGCAGAGTTGCTTTATGTGGAGCACCACAGTCTACAGGGGTAGATGCCAAAGGGCATGTCTTATTATTCTACTCCAAAGCTGCCTCTTGTCTTCAATAACATATACATGCTCGACAACTTGAAGCTGAAGAGAACATAGATTTGGCCTTACAGAATAGAGCATTTCAATCACTTGAAGTCCTCAAGCCCTGAGATATTAGAGAAAACAGTAGCACTGAACAAACGAGTAGGGGTAAACCCAGGGGCTGGCAAAGATGGAACGCAGTTGCTAATACCACTCGGCAGCCCAGGCTTATTCAGAAGAGTGCACACAGTGAGGTCTTCGCACTACTCTCAGGGACCATTAAGAACCACCTTCCTACTCTGGCCTGTGCCCCCAGCTCTCCACTTGACATCCTCAGGTCAATCCTGGCGCATGCATGTGCGCGTGTGTGCATGCCTGCATCTGTGATGGCAGGCTGTAAAATGGTTCTGATAAGATTTTGTAAAGAGGCGCCAGAAATAAGTGACTAAATCCACCATGCCAGCCAACCAGATACACATAACATAACAAAGCAAGGCAGGCACACAGCCAGCATTGTGGGAGCTAAGAGGGCAGGCTATGCTGGGGCGCAGGTCAGGTGGTAGTGTGGTGAAACAGCTCCCAACAGACCCGAAGGTGACTGGTTTGGAAAGAACCTTGTTTCTCTGGGAAGGGAGTATTTGAGTGGACACACACTCACAGGCAGGGGCTCATGGGAACAGAGTGCAACTGTGAGGCTTTGCAAAGCATGCTGTCAGTTCAGACTCAGGGCGACCCTGTGTGTGCAGAGAACTTCTCCAAACCATTTTTAAGGCTATGATCTTTAGGAAACAGATCACCAGACCTGTCTTTACAGGTGCATCTGAGTGGGTTCAAACTATCAACCTTTCAGCTAATAACCAGCTGCTTAACTCCCTGTCACCCAGGGATCCTTACAAAGCACACCCAGGGTGAAATCAGGATACCTGGGTGACTTTACTTACAGGGCGAGTAGAGAGGAGATTCCTAAGAAGTCCCAATGTCTTCATCAGTACATTCAAGTCTGAATCTGATAATAACCGGAATAGCTGTTCAGTACTCAAGCTTCGCAAAATATCAGCTTTTATTTTCTGTTCAGCCTGAAATGCCATATTCTGGAAGGATTAAAGAAGTTGCAAGAATCATGTCTACTTCTGCTTTATCAAATTATAGTTTATTAACACTGATCCTTTTCAAAGTGGAAACAGATTCTGCAGACAGTCCTCTGGCACGAGTCCCAATCTCTGTATGGCTCCTGCTTATCTTTCCCTCCAGAACAGTGGTTCTCGAAGTGGGTGATCCTGCCCGATGTGGGGCGCTCGGATCATCCAGGGGACTTTAAAAGCAATACCTACACTTTCTCATGGATTATGGGCTACAGCACAGAAGTGTTTAATCACCATGGGACACCATTTCCCCCCGAGAAGGGGGCTGTAAGCCAGGTAAGTTCAGGAATGATGTTAGTCTACAGCAAAGGTGGGGAACATCCAGCCCTTGGGTCATAGAACGCCGGCAAAATCATCAATGCCAGCTGACGTCACAGGCCTCACCAAAGAGAAGCGGCTCCAGACATCACAGTGGGGCTGAGCTGATAAAATGTTGGACCAGTGTGGCCTAAGAATGATGTCATAAATAGCCAAATGTCCCTTGACAGAAAAAGGTTCCCCCACCTCTGGTCAAGGAAGGTAAAAGTCACCCTTTGCTGTAGTTATACAAGTATAAAACCGTAACTGCTTTCTGATGTGGGCATTTGAGTGTCTAAAGATTTCTCAGATAAGCATCGCATTCTAAATAAACACAATTCCTTTTGGTAGGTATCAAGTTGCCTTCTGTGAATTTTAAAAACAGAATGACTATTTTTTTTCCAATTAAAATTTTTAGATTGCACATTAACAACTATGTTGTGCCATGCATTCTGAGGATGATTCAGAAGTAAGCTGTGGGCTAGTTGTAGCTTCAACCACATTAAAAGACCGATGGGTTCACAATACTGTGTTAGGTACCGAACACAGCCAGAAACTCCCCCTGGGTCAGAGGTTAAAACATGATGGATGAGCACAGCTGAACCCCAAGAAAAGGCTAACATTTCTGAAGCACAACCCTCCTGCAAATTGCAAATAACACGTAACAAATCAGCTTTTGGTATAAAACCTACTGCAAACGGAAAGCTTCTTATAATTATGTCCATTGGGACGTAATATAATATTCTTGTCCACTGAGAACTTACATGTGTTATGGTGCTAAGACATATGAGCAATCAAGGTACATACTGATGCAAAGCAATATGACAGAGAAAGAGAGTTCTGGGCTGGGTGTCAACAGACCTCGTTTAAAGAACATTCCAAGGTTTTATCTTTTGCAGACAGTGACCATGGCAGCTGGTGATATGAAAACTGATGAGAATAAGACAGTAGGGATTTAAGGAACTGGATGATAAGTTCAATGTTTATTATTAAGATTGTGTGTGCCAGGGGGCCCTCAAGCGAAGTAATTTAAGTGACAGACATGGAGAATTTGAAGACAGCCCTTCTATTAGAGGGAGCTGAAACCGACAAAGTATACAGAGTCCTGGAAAGTGGGTAGTGTGAGGGCTTGGAAACCAGGAGTTCAACTGTGGGGGAACATCCCCTGAGCAAGAGGTTGAAAAAGAGGCAAAGTAGAAAGTGAAGTGAAAACAGTCAAGTCCAGAAAAAGTTTCACGAAAAGTTAGTGCTAAAAGCTCATGTAAAATGAAGGGGGAAATAACTGTGAGATTAGTGATTTCATAGAAGATGGTTATCGCTATGGCAGAGTTTCTAAGAAGAGATAGCCAGGAGAGCATGGGCCAGGCAGGGGAAAGAATATAGGTTAGGGGATGGGTTCAGAATCCATTTCCAACACCTATTAGTTGGGAGGCAATTCATTTAAACTTCTTGGGTTCCAGTTTTTTCCATTTTCAAGGTAGATATATACCAAAATAACATAAAACACTACAATATAACAAAATAAAAATTAGAAATAACAAACACTCATAAGCACTTTTCCCTGGCATATAGAAAAAAGCTCGTTAAACTATAGCTACTAGAATCGTGCTTTTAAATGCTCTGTAGGACTGTACCAGTTTCAATTTCAATAGAATTTTAAAACTGTCTCCTAATAGTTCTATACTTTTAAACTCTAGATTAGCATACACTATGTAATAGAAATTCTTTAAAAATGATTTAACATTTAGGCACTAATTCTGTTCATTGAGGCATTCTGTTACCTTGGGCATGTTATTAAATTGCTGTCTACTCATCTCTAAAATAGGGTCACACTACTCTTATAAAGTTGTTATAAAGATCAAAAGACCTTGTCCTTTGGGGACTTGTATGTTAGTTAGGGTGCTAAGACATATCAGCAATCAAGGTGCCCTAGTAATGAAAGCAACATGGCAAAGTGGAGAGAGTGCTGGGCTGGGTGTCTAAAGACCCAGACATAAAAGAGACATAAAAATGCTTTGCAATGTAGGTTTTCAAAAAAAAATAAAGCAAAACAAACTCCCCTGCCTCCCTGACAAAACCAGTTTCCTTTGCATGGACTCCAACTCACGGTGACTCTGTCTGTCAGACTAGAACTGCACTCCACGGGTTTGCAAGGCTTGTTTTTCACAGGTAGATTGCCAGGCCTTTCTTTCAAGCCACCAAGCCAAAGGTAGGCAGTTGAGCTTTGCCACCAAGGACTCATGCAAAGTGGGCTGTTGTTGCTATTGACCTCCAAGGCAATTCCCCCTCACAGCGAGCCGGTGAGAACAGAGAATTGTTCCACAGGCTCTTCAAGGCTAGCATCTTTCCAAAGCAGATGGCCCAGGCCTGTCTTCGCAGGCACTTCTGGTTGGGTTCACTGCACCACCCAGGGACTCATAAAGTAGACAGCCCGATACAAATAGCTCAAGTTAAGGGAAACTTGCTTTCCTAAAGCTAGACAAGTCCAACGTCAATACCTGTCTACTTTTCCTTCGCAATACACAGGAGAACTGAGGCACACAGGGCCAAGCAGCTTGCTTACATTACAATAGAAACCGAAAGCTGAACAATGAGTCTTCTAAGTCCAAGGTCACTGGAACAGCAGGTCAAAATAGAAACAACACATTCTTTAGTTCTAGCATTGATAACATCTGTATTCTCTTTGTAAATGACAAGGTATAGGAAAGGTAAAACGTACCATTAAAGCCCAAATTCCATTCACTCGTAAAGCAGGGTTTTCACTCTGAGTTAATCCACAAAGTAGCTCTACGGCTCCTGATTCTAAAATTGGCTGTGATTAGAAAGGAAAGAACACAGCTTTAGAGTCCGGTTTGGGGGTGAGAGGGGCAGAGAGGCTGGCACTCTGCCTATGATTTCTTCCCTGCTGGAGGGTGCTGCCCATCCAAGCTTCTTTCAAGAAACAAAGCAAGTAACTAGGTGGGCCTTGAAAAGGGCAGGGACAACTCTTATAAACTCTCCAAACATAACGAACGATCCCGCTCATTTCCTCCTCTGTCGTCCTGGAGACATAACTCATGTCTAGGAGACATTCCAATGACGTGTGCATTCACAGACACTCTCCAGCCCCACTGGTTATCATCTCACCCCTTCCCACGCTCATCTCTCTACCACTGAGACCGGCCCTCCTTGTCGTGGTTGCTCCTGTCCATTGTTCACAGGTGTGACTATGAAGCAATGTGGCTGGCTTAGTGACAACATAGAATGGAACTTTGATACCCAAACCTCCTTCCAAGTCATCACCGCGCTATCTTATTCCAAACACGCTGATTTCATCCTTTAGAATTACTGCACAATAGTCTTGGACTTTCAGTGTCCCGCTGCCCTGTACACTTGAAACATGTGCTTTGCCCCGAGCACCTGAGGGCTGGGGATGAGTTTGGGCAATATTCCAAACAACCAAACTTCAGAGGACTAAGGCATTATTACTGAAGAGCGCGGAAAGGCTCTCCAAGAAGGTTCTAGGGCAGTCTTAGGCAATTCAGACCGGTATACATAAAAAATGACAGTGCATTTCAAGAGCGGAGGGGAACACTGTACATTTATTTACCTGTACAAATTGTAGTTTTAAAAAACTTAAATAATATAAGGCATTCTCACATATCTTTTTCCCAGATTCACTCATTTTTAACATTTTTGCAATACTGGTTTTATCATTATCTTTTGCTCAATACATGCATGCCCACTATTTCTCTTATTTGATTGTACATACCAAATCCCCTCTCCATAGTCATTACTGTTATGTACTTTGCTGCACATGTCCTAAGAACAAGGATATTCTCTTAGACAACCACGGTGTGGTTACAAAATTCAGCAGTTAGCAGTGAAACAATACATTAATCTAACCCACAGTGCATGTTCCAAATTTTGTCAGATGGTCTAAAAATGTTCCCCCCTCTCACTTCTGGATCCAGCTGGTTTCTTTTTAGTGTAAAAACCAGTACTATAACCAGATCATCATGCCTTGTGTGGAGTCTGACACCTGAGTGTATTCGTCTTGTTTCCTTACCACACTCTGATCATTCTCAAGGGAGAGCGGAGAACTTGTGAGCTAGCCAGAAGGTTCTTTAGGATGGTGGATGGTGTTGCCGTGGCTGCAACCACAGAGGCCAAGCACCCTGCCAGGTGGAGCTGACATTCTGTCTTGCCACCAGCTTCCTTCAGAGAACTACCAGTCTCTCCCCTCTTGTCCCAAGATTTCTGCTTTCAGATCCTCTAGCTCATTAGTACTGCCGTCCTAATTACCAACGCGCGTCTGCAAGTATTGCTACCACAGCAAGGAAAGTGGACAAAACAGGACTACTCCATGTATGCAAAGTGGCTAAGCCTCAGTGGGAAATTGGGTCAATCAGAGATATGTCGACATTATGATAAAGCTAACCATAAGGTTTTCTCCCTTTTCCTTTTGAATCAAGTTTATTTTAGTTTCCTCTACTTCAAAAGGAACATATTTCCAAGTATTTTAGAAAACACAGAAAAGGGAAATTATCTCCACACTTCATCCTTCCACAAACAGCTGTTGTGAATATATAAAAAAAAATTATTCTCCATAACCAGCAGTTACATACCTTGAAGCAATTTATAATCCTGGCTTACAAAATAGAGCCTTCATCTACTCTTTAGTAAATATAGTTTGAGAATGATCTATTATTTGTATAATTATTTTTAAGTATAAACTGCAATACCTTTAAATAGGCTGAACCTACGAGGCAGAAGGCATGATAGCTGTATTAAAACATGAACAATTTTCCTTAAAAAAATAAAAAGACTCAAATAATTCAGATGTTTTCAAACTCAAACCACAATTTCAGTGCCACCAACTGTGAAAGATTTCTGACTAAGCTCTAGCTGGACTGGGCAAAATCAATACTAACCTCTTTGCTTGGAGAAAATTCAAGAAGCAGATTACATAGCATCGAAGATGCTACTACTAGGATTTCATCTGGTGCATTTTGTAAAACCTATGGGATGGAAAAAGGGATACTATTAATGGCTGGGAACCATGGAGGTGTGATCATAAGAAAAAATGAGAACAAGACCATTTATCTTTCCAATTCCTGCTACTGGAGATGATTAGCCAAGACCCACCTGCCTTACTGCTCTGATTTTGACTGAGTAGAACCCTCAAGTCTGATTGCAGGAGAAGCTCCAGCCCACTTCCAGTTGGGAGGCTACTGCCAGAAAAAGGAGAGACGCGGTTGGGGAGGGAGGAGTGCTCTCTGTGGAAAGCAGTCAAGGCAGACCACGTATGCAAGCACAGAACTGGCCTACAGCTTGAGGCTCTCGATGTCAAAAGGCTTGTTTGAAGAGGAGCCCAGATGGATCCCATTACCGCACAAAGGGGCAATAAGGCGGACAGGACTTCAGGATGTAGAATTACTTTTCTTAACCTCTCCGTAATAAGAGAAGCAGCACAACGTGGCAGTTAAAGGCACAGACTATCTGGGTTTAAATTTCAATTCAACAGCCAAACAACACTAAACAATTGAATTTCAACTCACAGTGGCGTTACAGAATAGAGTAGAACTAGAACTGCCTCAAAGGGTTTCCCAGGTTGTATACCTAAAAAGGCCGGCGGCACATCTTCCACCCAGAGCAGCTGCTAAGTTTGAACCATCAACCTCCCAATTTTTAGCCACGCACTTAACCACTGTCACCAGGGTCCTTCTCAACCAATCACTCAATAGTTAGTTGAGTTTCTCAGCTGCCAAACGAGAGCCACAGTAAGTACACCTACTCCTTACTTATGACTAGCTCGTTATGACAACTTTGACAAAATTCTCCTATGGTCTGGGTCCCATAGGACCATGGGTAGGCCAAGGGCAGTCTCCTTGGGTCACCCAAAACTGTATACCAGAAACCCTGACATTATACCAGAAACCCTGGTGACTAGGTCTCATGTAGGACGTCTTCTCCCATGCATCTGCTGTCTCTGTCTGCCCAGAGTGTGAGGTGACAACAGGATGACATGAGATTTCAGGTGGGCAGGGGGGTGCTAGTGGAGGTCCTAAAGGTTCTGGGGAGGTAGACTGTGGGAAGTGGAAAGTAGGGGAGAAGGGGGTTTTGCAGGGCTATGGCACCAGGACAGATGGAGGGTGAGTGGGGTCCCCTCCTCCAGGTGAGCAGGATCTAACCACCACACTACTACCCCTACCCCCAGGGGCTCCACAGTGGTGGGAAAGATGTAGTGGCGGAAGGTGGGGAGTGGGGTGGTAGGTAGATGTGTTGGGGGCACCTGGTAGGCAGGATGGGAACACCAGCACTGAAGATAAGTTAGGTGTGGCCCCCAACTCGCACATTCTCACATAATACTGACTTCTCATAAAGATCTGGTCTTTGGAACGTAACATGTTGATAAATGAGGAGTGCTGTACTTCATAGCGATGGTATAAGAGTGACCTAATCAAAGAAATGATACCATGTTACTAAGGGGAATTTAAAATCTGCCACCTTCGCCATCGTGGTTATCGCGCACAGTAAGCGACCTGCCACGGACTTGCGCTGAGCTCAACAAGCACGACGACAGATGTCAGGACGCCTACCCTCACTCAGCAGCTTATCCGACACTGCATTTTTCACCCCAGTGAAAACAAACACGAGACCCAAGGGTAGTGATGCTGCTTTTGATAGTTCATGTGCTAACTTGGCGGTGACGATGATTACTCCGGGGTTTTAAGTCTTACTTTACGTGGCTGACGGTGCACTGGCCTAGGCCTAAGGATAGAGAATGTGTCTGGTTATATAATGATGCAGTCACCCGCCATTTTGTGATCTGATGTGGTCATCCTTCATTCTCCAACCATGACAATTTTCACCTAGTGAGCTGGTCTCTGGAAACTAATCATATCGCTAAGTGAGGAGTGGGCATACGAGCTATAACCAGAACCTCTTCCTTCTAGATTCCAAAAGAGAAGGCCTCCTAAGTACTACCACTTATGTGCAGCGGTACTTCAACAAAATCTTCACATTTGGGATCAGATCACACTCAGGATTATTATTTTAAAAGAAATCCTAGGAGCTAAGTTATGCAAATTGGAAAGAGACCATCACAAAAACCATTGCTAATTCAATAAATTATCTCCTTTGTTCAACTAAATCAATTCTGAAACCCTCAAGTTAAAAAAAAAATAGCAAGAATTACACAGTAAAAGAACTAATTTGCTATTACTTCTTCTGAGAACGATTGGCTAGTAGATAGAGATCAAGTTACATATACTGTATGTGCAGACCTCTCTCTGTCTGCTGCAACGTCACCAAGACCCTGCTCAGCCTTCCTTTCCAGCCCTACATCTCGGTGGGTAGGCATACTCCCAACCATGCTTTGAGGCCATCCTGTTCTGGAAGCTTCCTTAAAACTCTGCCAGTCAGAAGTCACCCTAGTCTCCTTTGAGCTCTTAGTCATTGCTTGTAACCCTTTTTAGGACCCTAACTATCCACACTATTCAAATTCTTCCAGAAAGTAGCATTAAGATTGCTGAGAGCTAACTACTCCTGGCCTGATACAACCCAAGTTATTAAGAATAATGGGTGCTCAATAAATGTTTGTGAATTGAATAAAACAAATAACCATTTTCCAAAATTATACTATGTAGAATCAATAGTTAATATAAGTGAGGGGATGCTAAGACTTGAAAACATGTAAAAATTGCTTTGGTTGACATGATTCTATTTAAAACATTAGTAATTACTTACACAAATTGATTTAAAGTTTATTTTAAATTAGATTAACATATAACGATGAATTTCTTAAAAAAACATTCACTCACTACAATATAAGACATAAATTCAGAAGTCAACCTGTGATAATGATCTACATCAATTTCACCAAACCAGGAACAAAAAAATGATCAAAATAGAAATCTTAATTAAAGGCAAATGCTTATTTTCCAGTGGTTTGCTTCCTGACAGTTAGAAATGCGGAAAGGTAAAGGGAAAAATCAGCAGGTATGCCAGCAACCTTTGAGCTAGGGGAATCCAAAAGTATCGTAAGTGATAAGATTACTTCCAGGCTTTAAGTGCTACCTTACAAGACCAGCCAACAGTTCGATAGTGCATTTCCCTACACACAGTTCGTTTTGTTTGCTCAGCAGACCTTCCCTGGTACAGCTAGTTAGAAACCACATGCTGCCCTATTTCTGATCTGCAGGGTGCTACTCTAAAATAAACAGACCTGCGCTGGGCGGAGCAGAACTTTCATAGTACGCAATTTTCCTGTTAAGCGAGCATTGAGCAACTTGCTCTGAGTTAGTGCACCTAGTGGTATCACCTGGGAAGGTTCTCTCTGGTCATAGTGAAAAAATTTTTTCATAGAAGCAGTTCTGCTCAAACCATTTTTGTGACAGCTGATTTAAAGGAACAGTGTGTGGCTGTGAAATTTTGTTTCCTGCCTGGGAAAAATGCTGCAGAAACTGTTGTTACATTGAACACAGCTTACAAGGACAGAGCTAAGGGGAAAGACCCAAGTGTACGAGTGGGTTTTGCTTTTCAAAAAAAGTGAAATGTCAATTGATGACAAACCTCATTCTGGACGTTGGTCAAATTTCCAAAAGGACAACAATGTCGACTTTAGTGCATTTGGAGTTCCTTCCACCAGGTCAGACTGTCAATCAAGCTTTCTACTTGGAGGCTCTGAAAAGACTGTGTAACAGTGTGCAACAAAAAAGCCTGATTTGTCGAAGATGTGGGACTGGTTTTGCCACCACGACAATGTGTCTGCTCACTCAGCCATCTCAGTGTGTCAATTTTTGGCAAAAACCAGCATGCCTCTCTTGCTCCTCACACCTTACTCAACGGACTTTGCCCTGCACAACTTCTTTTTGTTTTTGCAAATGCAGAGAGACATGAATGGACAGCAATTTGATGACGTAGAAGAGGTGAAGAAAAAAATGAGGGAGGTGCTGTTAGCCATCCGAACAAATGAGTTTGAAAAATGTTTCCAAGAATGGAATCGCAGATTTGATGAAAGTATTAAGTGTAATGGAGAGTACTTTGAAGGTGATAAGGTAGTTGTAAAAGAAAACTAAATACATGGCTTTGGAAAAAATTCCAGTTTGGGGGGAGTGGGGTACCCCCTTGAATACAATGGTCTGAGTCATTAAAGAAAATGCCGCCTGATGAAATGGGTATTTCTCCAGAAACAGAGAACACTTAAAAAAATTTTTTTTTGGATGTGGCTAGAATAAAAAAATATTTTAAACAAGCTGTTATTTTAAAAAGGTGGAATCTAAGAACAAGAAAGGAAATGGAAGAGAGCTTGGGAAAATCCAGAAATGGCAAGTTTGGCCCAGGCGTTTAGGATACAGGACTTTTGTGGCACTGGACAGGCAATGAGGTCGTGGCCAGAGTTAGGAGATGGGCAATGGAGTCTATTTCCTTAGACGCGGGCTCTCACTCGGGCTCAGGAAGCAAGAGGAGAGCACAGGGCCATTCACATTCCCAGTGAAGCCAATCCTGGAGTTTCCAAGTCAAAAATACAGGAATTACAAAGTGAAGGAGAAGGGGATATTCCAAAGGACTGACATCTACCCTTCATGGTGAACGAGAGGGAAACGTCAGGAGTTGCCAGTGACTGCAGCTGGATGCCCTGGGCTGCTCCAGCAGGCCCCCGGAGGGCAAGAAATCAGAGAAACTTGAACTCTCAACTAAGTGTCCTATTTTAGACTAGGAGACCTCGGCGCCACCTGGCAGCCCCTGAATCTCATACACAGTCCTGTCATTCATTGCACTGAAGCATCTCCAGGTATCACGTTTTATTTCCTCACCTACTTCCTGCCTACCACCTTTACCACATCAGGCATGCCCCCTCAGAGATGAGCCTCACTCTGGGACAGATGGCTCTCAGCATGCCAGTTCCTAGAGGGGCCTCCATGTCTGCTGCTGTGAGTCACTATAATCACGCCGGGGTGGGGCAGCACTGTGTCCTGTGTGCACCATTCCTTGTTATTTCTGCTTATTCTCTTCCCCTCCCTGAAACCGTTACCTGCTTCCCCTTTGCTTTTTCAAAGCTTACATTTTACTCTTTCTTTCTGAAGGCGCCCCTAATGTCTGCCTTCCCCCCACCCCCCAATGCCTTTACTTTAACAGGATTAGAAGTACAGCTAGAATGCTCCCAAGAAGTGAGGAGGTGAGAAGTCGTCTTATGCCCTTCAGGCACGTCCCCAGGAGGGGCCGCTCCCTAGAGAAGGACGTCATGCTTGGCAGCGGGTCAATGGGAAAAGAAAGACCTCGCAGGCTGTTAGGCACTGGGCTGCAGCAATGGGCTCAGACATAGCAATGACTGATGGCGCAGAGTCTGGCAGTACTGCCTTCTCTTACCCACAGGGTCACCAGCCAAGTGGGTAGAAGCCAACCTGACGGCACCTCTGAACACCCTAACCTGAGAGGCCAATGATGGGTCAGTGGCAGAATTCTCCCTTCTAGGGCGGAGATCAAGGTTTTCTTTGGTGTAATCCAGGGAACGTTTGCCTAATACTGACATTAAACAGGTTTCAGTGGAGCCTCCAGGGCAAGATAGAGTAGGGAGAAATGTTTGGTGATCTATTTCCAAAAATCAGCCAAACCAAACTAGATGGATCACAACGGATCCACAACTGATTGCGAGCATGGCACAGGATTAGGCCACCCTGAGCTGAGGGCTGACCCCTGCTCTCAGCTGAGGCTGCAGGTCGAGGGTAAGAGCGCCACAGGGCAGCATTTTTGATCATCTCCTTGTGCTGGAAGACTTTGCTTAATTAGTATATTGTGGGTACTCAAGACAAAGCAAAACACAAAAACAGACAAAAAATACTATCAACTAAAATATAAGCTGGGACCAGAGACTATGTTTCTGTGTGACGTATCAAGTGACAACCCTACTAACAGCAACTTGATGTGTGCTCTAAGACTCAATTAAAATAGGCTTGCTCCAGACCCTTTTGCGAAGGGAGGGGAAGGGCAGTCCCCAAGATAAGATCTAAGACTTTAAAAAAAAGGTATTTGGGGACAAAGAAGCAGGGAAATCACTAAAATTAAACCCAGCTGCCTCTGAAAAGCACCAGGAATTTCCAATAGACTGAGGACAACCGGCTGCCCTGTAAACGGCTGACTCCGCCCAGTCTCTCGTGTAGCAATGAGCACACACGGAGATGAGAAGCCAAGGGCGCACTCTCCACAGGGAGACTGGCACGTACTTTCTCCTCACATGAGATGCCGGCTTCAGAAACACACACTAGGTGTGTGTGGACCCTTGGGCGACAGGATCTGAGGAGGAAATTGTTCAAAATGCCTTGTACAGGAATCAGACCCAACAGACCTGGAGAGGGCTCCCTGTGATCGTAGTTGCCAGATCAAAAATAAACCTAACCAAAATCCGGTGAGTGACCTCTTGATTCGCAGGACCCCACAGGTAGAACTGCCCCCGTGGCCCCGAGACTGTCACTCTTTGCAGGAGCAGAAAGGGTCCTCCGTCTGCGACAGCTCACGAAAGTTTCTGTGACCACTGCTCCTCGCTGGCCTTTCCTCTTACCTTCATTAAAGGTTTCCATACGGCGTGATCCTGGAAACTGGTTCGAAGCTGCTGCACAGATCTGGATAAACTGTGCAGACATCTACAAAGAATAATCAAAATTAGCTTCACAAGAAGCTGGCACGTTTGAAACTCTTTTGGCATTTCATAACTACTAATGCATACTTCAAGTCTATCTACAGAGATGGTTAATTGAATTACTTCAGAATAATTCATGGGCTTTGGAGGCTTAGGTTCTGGGTTAAATAATGCTACATGCTGTGTGGAGTCACCTGAGCAGACTTCCAAGCAGTTTTGATTCTGCACTTACTAGGTAGAGGTCCAGAAAGCAAACAGGTTAAAGACATGGCAAGGGGTTTTGACTCAGACCATTGAAAGCTCATACCTGACGGCAGCTAACCGCACCTTGACACTAGACTCAGACAAGCCAGTCACAATTCGGTCCATCATATTTTCAGTCTCAATGATCTGGAGAAAAAGGTTAATGCTGCATAAATAACAACAGGAAGATGACAAACTTCAGCGCTTGCAAACGCACGTATGTTAACGTCCACTAAAAGTTTCAAGTGGTTGCAGACAAGCGTGTTTACTGGGAACAGAGATCTTGCAGTGGGGCAGGCCGCTCTCGGAAACGTAGGTTGGCCCCACTGCAGCCCTGCCAGTCGAATGGCAGGTATAGGGGGCAGGTGATGTTTGTTATTGCTACAAAAGCCTGGAAACAATGGTTAAATGGCATACAGAGTGCGGGAGTGTTGCATGCATCGTCTTCAGGGTAAGTGAAAAGCGTAGCTGAACTTTGACCGGCAGAAGCCTTCAAGATCACTCAGCCTTCACGAGATGAACTCTGCCGTTTCCGGCAGAGCCGCCCCGTGGCACTTTCTTACCAAGCCCAGGGAAACCAAGTTATACAATTAGAAAAGGAGCCCCTGCCGTCTTCCAGGGCAGTACCAAGTCCTGCTCCACGCAGTCACGGCACTCATGACGCCCTTCTACCATAAAGCAACCACCGCCTGCACTCGTCCCTCGCTCAGCAGCCTCGACATACCAAGATCAAGTGCACGGACGAGATTAGTTTGCCTTGTGTAATCCTATCACAAAAATCAGCTGTTACCTATTAGTAAAAAGTGCTATTGCAATCATACTACCAATATTAGCAAAACAACTACTATTTATTGCGCATTTCCACATGCCAGGCAGTGTCGTGTCAGAAGGGAGCTTTGAGCAAACTCCATTTTCCTCCAGACTTTTTGAAGCACACTCAGATACATTATCTCAAACTGTAATTTTCACCCTTTTGTGGGAATTGTGATAAGGGTTTCGAGGAGCCTAGTCAATAGAGAGCTTGCCTGGGATGAGAGCTGGCTGGATTCAGGTTGATGTATTTAGCCATACTTGAAATGCAGCCTCACTGGGGCAAGTCCTTCGGCCAGCGAACCCAGTTGAATCCTGGGTAAGTCATTATTAGGAGCCCCTGCGCTCACTTGGGAGACCAGGGATTGGAACGCTGCCTGCCAAAAAGAACCACCTGAGGAACTTTTAAAAAGTTCTCACCCAAATTAATTAAATTTGTGTGGGACCAGGCACCTATATATTTTAGAGCTTCCCAAGTGAGCCCAAGATGAGGATCATTGACCTACACTAAAGTGGGAGGATTTGGAAGGCTGAGCTCAGAACTGGGGGGGGCGGGGGGAATCTCAGTATCTTCAAGCCCAAGTATGTTTCTCTTTTGCTACAGAAGAAAAATAAAGGGGTGAAACCAGCAGTGAGCAGAGTATTAACAATTAAAAACAGGGGACCCACACTCCTGCTGCATGTTAGAAATAATCCTTTTTAATAAGGTGCTTTGCAGTTTCCAAGCTGCCAAAGAAGACTTACACATGGATCAACTCCCAACCTGGAACTAATTCCAATCTCCCCTTCCCCTGACACACAGCCACTCTTTTGCTCCTAGCCTCCTCACTCTCCCACTGTCCACCTAACCTGGGTCTGGGTGCTGGGCTCCAACCCTCCACTCTAGACAGATTTTCTTTCCTTCTTGTCCTCCGGCCACTCACTCATGTCGCCATCCTCCTTCACAGCCACAAATCCTGTGCTGTGCCTCCAACAGCAACCCCAATTGCTGATGCACAGCTGGGGGCCTGCCCACTGGCCTCTCCCTGGGTGCTAGCCCTCACTGCTGTGACCAGCTGTGGGCTCACCCCCAGGAGGAGCCCCCAGTCCTCCTGCCTCCTTCAGACCTTTACCCTTCTGCGCCCACCTCATCTTAGCTGGGACACGGCTTAGTTCCTGCGACACAAGTTGCCGGAACTTGCCTTTCTTCTGACTAAAAGCCTTCAGACTCTCACTGCTTTTTTTAACTTCTTTCTTGACTCCAGTTACAATGAAGCGTACTTTAAGCTCAAGCCCTCTCACCTGGATCCAAGCAGGACTTTTCCCAGACCTTTCTCGGAGCTCTGCTGAGCCACACCCTCTGGGCCCTTTTCCTCAAGCGGCCCCGCCTCCCACTCCAGTTCTGAGACAAAGTACCTCATCTAGACGCAACCCTCTTTCCCCTGGATTCCTTGAAAGGCTCTGTTCACACTACATACTCAATACTTGGGAAATGCGGTGGCTTCAAAACCAGTTCAGTGCAGGTAAGCCCTTCCCAAAGCTCCCTCCTAATTCCTAGCTGCCCAGTAAAAACCACCGGGGTGCTTGGTCTCCTTATGTTGCAAATGGGAGTTTATCCTCTTCCCCACAGGCCCCACTTCTTGCCCTGCCTCTGGGCTAATGACACCACGCCCTAGCCACTCACAGAATCTGTGCCAGTTGTGACTCCAACTCTTCCTCCCTGAAGATCCAACTACGTTTCTTTGCATTATACCTTCTATTCATTGAATCATCATTATACTGTTAAACTGGTGAGGATTTTACTACTGTTGCTTTTCTGAGTTACAGCAAAAGTCAAACACCAGCTGGCTAGCTGGCTGTGGGATATAAAAGGGCCTTTTCCCCAGCTTGTCTCCCCCAAATATATGCCAAACCTAAGCGGCTGCTTGGCAGCACAGATGTTTGGAGATCTTCTCCCTGAAGGCCTCAGCCACCCAGAGCAATCAACTACTGTCTGGTCTACCACAGGTGAGCTCACACCTACTCATAGGATAGTGACGTTTCCCTGGAGAGCTTAGAACAGGTCAAACCAACTCAGTGACATCCAAGGTTAGGCTGCCATCCTGAATCTAAGATCCTCCCATCCTGTCACATATGTATCCCTAATCCCGCCTCTTCCTACTGTGTATGCACCCCTAAATCATCCCCCTCCCACTACTGTATTACCTATAGTACAACCCCTTCCGGTGACGCATGTCTTCACCTGCATTCAGGAGGTTTGCACACCCCCAAAAGATATAAAAGCCTTGGTTAGAAATAAATATCTCTCTCTCTTCTCCCCTCTCTTCCACCTGAGGTGTGTGAGGAACTGGCTGGTGAGACCAAGGCCGTCCAGGAGGTGAGCACGCTACCATGAAATGTGTCTGATTCCTCTATTTTACCTTCTCTTCTGTCTCTCTTATTCTCTGACTTTACCATAATCTTTACATATCATAACTGTACAATTGCGCCTATCGGACCCGTGATAGTGTGAAGGGCTGGTTTCGCCCACAGCTGGCTACAGGTGACTTCAATGAAACGCTAATCAATTTATGAAACAAAACAAAACCCACCGAACTCACTGCCATTGAGTTGATGTGGACTCAGGTAACCCCACAGGGCAGGGTAGAGCTGCCCCGTGAGTTTCCGCCTGTTTACTGGACTCGAAGGCCCCGTCTGTCAGATCAGCTGGTGGTTCCCAACTGCTGACCTTCTGGGTAACCACAGCTCCAAAGCCTAATCAGGACCTTCACAATGGGGAGGGTACGAACTACGATGCAGCTGTATGCCAAAGCGTGAAAACTCCTGGTGGTTTGGGAAATTATTTTTACTTAGGAATGACAAGTCACAACTTGGGAGAAACAACTGTTTGTGAGGTGGGGTTAGGAGAGGAGGACATCTGGCTATTCTCTGTACTGGAAAATATTAAGCATGGGTTCCAAATGCTCAGAAAGCCTGGGCACAAACAAGTCTTGAAAGAGATTTCTAGATAATGCCATATTTAACCAAATAAATAAGCACTTAAGGGCTGGGCAGGCACCAATCAATAAAGCCCATCTGACTACAGCAATGGGTCACACATCCCTGGAAATGCTTTGTACTATGAAAAACCCTAATTCTATGCTAAAGATGGGCTGATAAAATGTACAAACTTAATATGGGCTTAAGTCCTGACCGAACCTCGCATAAGTGATAATGGAAGAACCTGAGGGGAGGGACCAGGGTGGCATTAAAAATAAAATGAGTGGGTGGCTGGCCGAGTGGAGAAAGCAGTGCAATAGGAATTTTATGGAGTGGATTTGCTGTTAATCTTGAGCAACTAGGACAACAATTTTATTTCCAATCATTTGCAATCAACAGCAATTGAGTTTGTCTTGGCAAAATTATCAAACTATTCAAAAGACACACGGGGCACAAGGTTACAAAAGATTCGAGATTCTGCAGCTCTAACTAGATCAAAACCAGTGAGACGGCCAGGACAGGCAAGGAGGACACGTCCTGCTTACTCACCAGCATTTGAGTGGCCACCGAGTGCCAGGCAAGAATTTTCAAATGTGAAGATAGAATGGTGAGCGAGAAAGAGCTTTGTTCCCACCAAACCTAGTGCCTGTCTGGCACTGGACTCTGGTGGCACACAGCAAGAGCATCTTAGCAATTAACTGAGCCATAGCCTCCGGAGACACATCGTGAAGTATGTAAACAGAGAAAATGGGAAATGCACTTATTCTCAAGAATAAAAGAAAAAATAAAAGTTTTACCATTTGTTGAGAACTAGCCACTAATAAGCTTCTCAGAGAATATTTGAGTTCTGATGGGAGGTCGGTGACTACGGTTATCCCTCTGAGGTTAGAACACGGCTTCATGCTTGTTTCTACATTTCCTGGGGGGACAAATACTTCCGGAAAGGGGCGCAGCTCTGATAGAAACCAGCAGGACCATCTGCAGATCTTCCCTTTTGGCACAGGTTGTCCCTTCTAAGGGCAGCCAAAGGCTGCAGGAGGACGCCTGGATTTGCAACTGAACAACACGTTATGCAGGTTTCCTACAGTAAGGCTGGTCCATGTTCTCCATCGAGACAGTTGGGGGAGGGCAGGGAATGAAAGCGGATGAAAATAATGCAGTATCAGGAAGGTGAGCAGAAGATTCCAACCCAAAAAGGTATCCTGAAAGGCCATGTAAATGAGCAATGTATCCTAATGTGGTTTTGTAGCTTCGAAGGAATTGAGAATGCTTATTCAAGAAGAAAGGGATTAGAAGGAATACACTGACCAAATTGCAGGGTGGTGGTGGTGGGGGGTGTGATTAAGGAAGACAAAGGTTGGGAAATGAATCCAGAGAGA